TACCACCGTACGTAACCATCTTGGTAATCTGGTACTCAGAAACACCATACAACGATCCCTCCCTTCCAAACCCAGACTCCTTGACACCACCAAACGGCGCCGCCGGATCCGAAATCAACCCCGTGTTGACGCCCACCATGCCGACCTCAAGATGCTCCGCGACGCGGTGCACGCGCTGAATATCCCTCGAGAAGAAGTACCCCGCCAACCCGACGTTGGTCGCGTTCGCCAGCTTCACAACCTCCTCCTCCGTCTCAAACTTGAACAGCCCCGCAACGGGACCAAACGTCTCCTCGCTCGACATGGCCATGTCCTTGGTCATACCCGTGATGACGGTCGGCTCGTAGAAATTGTGGCCGAGCTTGGAGATCTTGTTCCCGCCCACAACGACTTTGCCGCCCTTTTGCTCCGCGTCGCGGACGTGGGATTCGACTTTATCGATGGCGCGGTCGTGGATCAGCGGTCCGTGGGTGATTCCCTCGTCGAAGCCGTTGCCGACCTTGAACTCCTCCACTTTTGCGGCGAATTTCCGCGCAAACTCGTCGTAGACGCCGCTCTGGATGTACAGCCTGTTCGCGCAGACGCACGTCTGGCCCGAGGACCTGAACTTGGAGGCAATCGCTCCCGTAACAGCAGCATCGACGTCGGCGTCGTCAAAGACGATGAAGGGCGCGTTGCCGCCGAGTTCCATGGAGAGCTTCTTGAGGGTGCCGGAGCACTGCTTCATGAGGAGCTTGCCGACGTTTGTGGAGCCGGTGAAGGAGATTTTCTTGACGGTCGGGTTGGTGGTCAGGGCCTCGCCGACTTCGGGGGTGTTGTCGAGCGAGGTGACGACGTTGACGACGCCGGCGGGGATGCCGGCGCGGTGGCCTAGTTCGGCGATGGCGAGGGAGGTGAAGGGGGTTTCGCCGGGGGCTTTGCAGACTACCGTGCAGCCTGTTGCGAGGGCGGGTCCGATTTTGCGGGTGATCATTGCGGCGGGGAAGTTCCATCTGGAGGTGTGTTAATATTGTGAAGAAATGCCACATACAATACGAAAGGGAGGAGACATACGGTGTAATGAGACCGCAGACGCCAACGGGCTCCTTGACCGTCCAGACGCGGTTCCCAGGAACGGAGGAAGGAATGGTATCACCGTATATACGCGGGGCCTCCTCGCTGAACCATTCGAAAAAGTTGGCGGCGTAGGTGACCTCGCCCTTGGCATTGGCGACGGGCTTGCCGTTCTCCCAGGTGATGAGGGTGGTCAGGTCCTCTGCGTTTTCCATCATGAGGTCGTACCACTTGCGCAGCAGCTTGGAGCGCTCGCGGCCAGTCTTGTTGCGGAAGGTCTCAAAGGCCGTGGCGGCGGCGGCGATGGCGGCGTCCGTATCGGCTGCGGAGAATTCGGGGCATGATGCGATTTTGGTACCAGTGGCGGGGTCTGTATAGGTGTTAGTTCTTGTGCCTATATGGATATCCCATACGGCTGAGAATTGTAAGGAGGAGGGAGGGTGTACCGGTCACGTCAAAGGTCTTGCCAGACTTTGCCTTTACCCATTCGCCGTTGACGTAGCAGACATCCTGCTTCAGGAGTGAGGGGTCTTTGAGCTGTGTGAAATGTGAGTGAGTTGAGTTTTCATATAAGAATGAGCGAGTGCAGCCCATATGTTGCGAGTGGGATATAACGTACCTTGGGAACCATGGTCGAAGCGGCTCTGAGGGTGAAGGGGATATACGGTGTCCGGATAGATCTGAAGATGGTTCTCGGTACAAATCGTGACGCCGGGGCGACTGCTCTCTGTAGTGTAATGGGCATGGTGATGAAACGGAGGAGGATGAAGAAGCTCTTGGCTCGTAATTGACAAAAGATGTGGGAAGTGCGGGGAGCTAGCTGTCCGTCTGGTCTAAGGAAATTAAGCTTCAAGCTTGGGGTCCTATGAGGATGGCGCTCAAACGCTTCCTTGGTGTTTTGCGATTGATGTAGTTGCGACTGCTGACGATCTTCAACGGCAGTTATCAACAACTCAATTGGTGAATTTTGGGCGAGCGACAACGGAGATGTGGTGAGAGAGCTGAGTATCAGTGACGAGTGGGAGAGGTACCGGGTGACGTTCGATGACGTCCACCCCACTTTGTCAACACCGGCCCGGTTGGGTTTACCGCAGACCGGCACGGAGGTGGCTGGAGTGGGGCATGTTAGGGCGATGCACCTTGACAAGGCGAGGTTGCTAACAGATAACACTTGTATCCGTACCTGCTTTACGAAGTCACGGCCCGGCAACCGAGGAACGAAGTCAAAAGTTCAAAGGTGTTTGTTCCTGCCTTTGATGGCGACTCAATCGTTCCTGGCTAAGTTGTCTTTGCGAATAGGTTATCTTAAGTTCAAGTACCTAGGCAGGCAGCTCCACTAGGGCTCTAAATGCGTTGACTTGATACCATAATGCTGATACAATCATGCTGTATCTTCGGCATCTACCTTGGACTAGGTACCTACAGGTACAGAATGAATTCAACCTAATCAGCCAAGCGCACATTCCAGCTGTTCATCTCATCTTCTTCTCTCAAGTCAAGGAAGGAAAAGAAAGCTCGTCTAGGTACCTAACGGAGTACACCGAGAAACTTGAACATCCACGCTCTCAGTCTACCTAGTCCTAGTCTCCTTCTACTATATTAGCCCCCAAAATACCACCAGTACCGGGCGAGCTTCGCTTCATGGTCGATATGCATGGAGCCTAAACTGAAAATAATTCCCGATCCTACGGCAATGACCCTTGCAAACAAACCAGCGCAGGCCAAGCCGTCACTGCATCCCCCGCGTTGATCTCGCCCGTTCCGACAGCTAAGCGACCTGCATGCTGTCATACTCCCATGCCGCCTGCCAAATCACGACCTTCGCTCGCTATTCTATTTCCTTGCTTCTCCTCACCTTCCCTTCAGCCAGCAAGCTGCAAATCTCTCCTTGGTAACAACGTAACAACGTACTGTCAAAAAGATGATTAGCTATAATCCCCACGACGCCGCCGTTGCCCACCCATGCGGGGAAGCTTATTCTCACTTCACTCTCTCCCATCGACATCGTCCCCGCTGAGGCAGCTGCGATTCTCCACCCGCCAGCCATCATGTCGTCCATCATCAGGTCCGTAGGCTCGGTCCTGGGCGATGAGCTCGACTGCCTCTTCTCTGCCTTTTCACCTTGGTTCTACGCATTCAAGTTGCCCACTGCCATGGCCGACGTCGTTGCGCTGCTCGCCTTAGGCACCGTCAATGTCACCGTTCCTGGTCCCAAGGAGGCTAGTCCCGTATTTGATGCTTTTGTGAGCTACTCGCTCGAGTTTGCCTTTTTTCCGGATTTTGCTGGTGCGTCTACTCCATACGAGACGTCCCGACAAAGTAAAACGTCACTCATCGTGATATACTAGGAAACGCCTCGGCACCAAACAAGTTCTCAGACAACCTGCTCGCCAATTTGGGTAACCTACAAGGCGTCCGCCCCTACATCCGCGTAGGCGGAAACACCCAAGACTACGCCCTCTATGATGAATCTCTCCCTTACGCCGTGAATGGCACCTACGATTTCGCCAGGTCAAAAGACTACCCAACCACCATCCACATCGGCCCCTCCTTCTTTGAGTCGTATGGTACTTTCAAAGACACCAAGTTCACCCATGGCTTCAATCTAGGCCTAGGCGGCAACCGCTCAGAAGGATGGGACACCCTCAAAGCCACCGTTCCCCTGGCCTGCAAAGCCATCGGCAAAGACAACCTCGACGTCTGGGAATACGGCAACGAGCCGGACCTTTTCTCGACCTCGGCCCAGGGCCCCGTCCGCCCTTCGTCCTGGAACGAGACTGTTTACGTAGAGCAGTGGCTGAACGGCACCCGCGAAATCGCCTCCGTCCTCGCGGAAGCGTGCCCCGATTTCCCCAAGCCCGTCTTCATGGCGCCCTCCAACGCCGGCACCGCCAACCGGCTCCGTGCTCCCGTGCAATGGGCCGCCGGCCTGAACGCCGACGCCAACGTCGCCCTCTTCTCGACGCACAATTACATTAGCGGCGCCGAGACCCCTGGCGTCACGCTCAAGGGCACGCTGATGAACCACACCCGCACCGTGCAGTCCGTCCAGGCACACGTCAAGGAATACGCCAACCTCACGAGCCGCTTCGACGACGTGCCGCCGCATATCTACGGGGAACACAACTCGCTGTATAACCAGGGGAAGCCGGGCTTGTCCAACTCGTTTGGCGCCGCGCTCTGGGGCGTCGATTTCAACCTCTATGCTGCGTCCCAGGGGATCAAGCGCGTTCACATGCACATGGGTACGGACTATCGTGTAAGACGTCCTTATTCCCCTCTCCACGGGTTCATGCTGTGAGTTAACAATCCACATAGTACCAAAGCTGGCAGCCCATCCACACAAACGTAACCGCCCTCGGCACAAAAGCGCCCTATTACGGCAACATCGTCATAGCAGCCTTTCTCGCCCCGTCAAAGGCCTCCCCCTCAACCCCAGTCTCCGTAGCCCACATCCCCCTCCCAGCCGACGACCAGGAAACAACATCCGCCTACGTAGCATATCACGGTGACTCCCTCACCCGCATCCTTGTCATCAACCTCAACCCGCACAACACCACCGTCAACGGCACCGGCACGACGCCCGATCCGAACATCTCCCCCACGCGCGGGATCAAACAATACAGCTTCACGGTGCCGTGGGCCAATGATATGTTCGCCAATGTGCGGAGGTTGAAAGCGAACGGGAGCGATGCGATTTCGGGGGTTACGTGGGATGGGTGGAGTTACAATCACGAGCTTGACGAGGGGAAGCCTGTGAGGTTGGGGAATGTTACTGTTGGGGAGACTGCGATTGTCTATGGGGGGAGGGTGACTGTTGCTGTGAGGGATAGCGAGGCTGTTGTTGTTAGTCCTGTTTTAGGGTGTGTAAGAGGGAAGAGGAGGGCGTGAAGTCTTTCGTGATTCATCTTAGAATACTTTGATCCATATATACTACCTCTTACGATTATCCATTGCATCACATTCGACGAGGTCTATAACCACCAAGAAAACACATCCCACAACACAACCCCAAATAAATCAACACCACGCAACATCACCTCTGCTCCCCAAACTGCCTCTCAACCTCCCTCGCAAACTCCCCAATCGTATCAAACCGCCACTCAAACCCAACATCCCCCTTCACACCCTCCCAATCCCCACCGACCCCTTCCCCATCTTTCGTATCACCACCCCTCGAGATCCAAACGCTCCTCAAACCAAACTTCTTGGCGGGGACATGGTCAGCAGTCAAGCTCCGCGCAACATGCAGTAACCCCTCTCCGTCTTTGTCATCCCACTGCACGCCCAGCTCCTCCTTCACATGCCTGAACAAGTATTCAAAGTTGGCAGAAGCGGGTTTGAAGCTCCCAATCTGCTCCGCCGTATACACCGCATCAAATTCCACAGGTTTGAGTACCCCCTCTGTGCGGGCAATGTTGGTGCCGTCAATATTCGACAGGATAATCAGCTTATAATACTTTTTCAACACTTCCAATCCTGCAATCGTATCTTCAAAGGGGACCCAGGTTCCAGGTAAGGTTCCAAAGGCGGTAGCTTCCTCTTCCGTCACGGAGACGTCGAGATCGGCTGCGAGGGCGAGAAACGAGCGGGAGAGGTTGAGGTCGTAGCGGAGGGTTGGAGAGGAGGATTGCAGGGCTGCGGAGAGGGTGTCGAAGCGTTTTGTGAGGGCTGCTTCTGTGGGGATGTCTTTGTTGTTGGTGGTAGAAGAGAAGGAGGAGGAGAGGGGAGGAAGACGGGAGATGATGGGTTGGAGACCGGCGCGGAGACCGGATTCCCAGTCTATTAGGGTGCCGTAGCAGTCGAAGGAGAGGGCTTTGAATTTGGTGAGGTCTGGGTAGGAGGACATTTTGGGATGGAGACGAGCGGGTTAGGAGCAAGGTAAGGTAAGGTTGGTTTAGTAGAAGATTTGTTGTCTTAAGGGGAATGGAGAGAGAGAGGGGGGGGGGCTTTTCTTGCTTTAGGGACCAAGTTTGTTGACCGCCCGGAAATCAAGAGAGTAGAAGTCTGTGAGAGATGGAGTTATACCGAGAAACCGAATAAAAGAAACAGACCAAAGCAAGGGAAAGGGAGCCCCTTTATACACAGCTGGGGAAGACTGCGTAGTGTAGTTCCTAATCGGCATCCTCAAGGGCGCGGATGACGAGCGGGGAGATCGCCACCTCGCAACACACAATACATCACTACCCTCGCTAAAAGCCGTAGTATCCGACTTCCATCCCTCAATTGGGCTATACGAGAAGAAGACCGATTTCAAGCAAGTTTACGAAGAATCAAAAGCGGATGTTAAAACGAAACCATAAAACAGTGTGGAATTAAAACAACGTCCTCAAAAGAAGTGTCATGGGTATCAACAATACCAGTAAGCCTGCCTTACACGCCATAATCCTACCCAGTCGAACAAAAACCTCAAACCCCGTAATCGCCATTTGTACAGTTCAATCAGTTGCATACTCTGATAATTCCATCAACAGTCCCGGTTTTAGCACCAAAAATGATTTGCATCCCTCACACCACCTAATTCAGCCGCGGGCTCTTCCGTCTGGGTCCCAAGCTCGACGAGAACGACGAAGGGGGCACATTCTCTCGTCCCTCGATAGGAAGCAAGCTAGCATGCTTGCGACCCTTGATCACAGGCCGCGTCGAGGTCCGCTTGCTAAACAGCAGCGGGGCCGTGTTCTCGTTGATGGACATCATGCTCGTCGAGGGGTCGAAGCCGTGGTTACCGGTCGTGTTGGGGTTCACTTCGCGAAGGCTCATGTTAAAGGGGGGCATTTCCGAAATCATACTAAGGGCCGACATACGAGTCGACGTGCGCGCCGGTGGCGGTGAGCGGGACAAGTCGTTTTCCGTGTCCGAGAAGACCATGGCATCAGCGGGAGCGGGCTTGGTAGGGGTGGAGGAATCGGTGAGCCCGGCGAGGAGGGTTTCGTGCGCATCGGTCCGGGGCAGGTCGGTCGGGTACCGGTACTGGATTTTCATGGGCGTCTCTCCTGTCGGTCGGTACTCCTGGATGGTTGTCGTTTCAATGTCCTCGCGGAGCGCAGTCAATGGCTTCGATAATTGTTGGGTCAACGGGTCCAGACCTTGCTGCATCTCCTCGGTTTCGGTCTCCATCTCCTCGCCAAGGTCCTTGACACGGTCGAACGTAGTCTTGAAGTGGCTTGAGATGTTATCAAACGACTTCTCTACAGTAGACGATAGACCCTGCATGGACTCGCTGTGGCGCTCGTGATGAGAGGCGTTCTCAGAACGGGCGCGAGTGACAAAGTCGTCCAACGCTTCCATTTGAACGTCTAGATCCTTCAGTTGCTCGTCCACAACACGAACAGTCTCGGCGTGGACCGACTTCGTGGTTGCCTGGATGGCCGTGCTGTGTTCCTCGGCGACCTGGTTGTTGGTTAGCATCATCCTCAGCCTTTCATGTGGCACAATCCGCTTACAGTCCAATCATCGTTCAACTTCCTCTTCATTGTGTCACGGGACTTGGCCACATCAACAAGGAAGTGGCCCTCCTTGGCATCCCATGCGCTCATGTCGTCAGAATATTGAGCTACAGTGTCTTGCAAGGTCACATTTGTGGCCAAGACACTCTTCTGCAACTGTGCAGTCTTCTCAACTAGGCGCGTCTCTTGCGTTGTCGCCTGAGCGTTGATGAGAGATGCGATCTGAGTCAACAGATTTTGTCGGTCCAGTGCCGCTTGCTTCCTCTCCTCATCCAACACCCGCTGCATCTGAACCGAGGTGTTCTCGTTCTTCTCGATAACATTGTTGGTCGCGCTCTCGAGCTGTTGTCTGAGTTGATCGGATTCACTTCGCTGTTCCGTGATGTGCTTCACAAGTTCCTCAAACATGCTCTTGAACTCCTTGCCCAGAGAGCTGTACGAAGAGTGTAACTGCGGATATGTTAGCTTTGAACACCAGGAAATGCACTTGTGATGATTTACCTGTTTGTGGAAAGTGTCGAGCTCGCTAAGGACATCTGCGGCAATGCGCTCCGCAGCACCAGCAATGGCATGGAGACTCTCTCCGACCTGCTGCTTGACGGTGTCGCGCACGACCTTGATTTCCTCAAGAACATCGTCCATCTCATCCTTGGACTTTTCGTTCTGTTCCAAAAGCTCCTTCCTCGATTCCGCAAAGGAGTCCAGCTGTTCGTCGAGGAACTGCTGGGTTGAAGACAGCTTTCCCAACTCTTCACTAACGAAAGCGTTCATGCGCTCAGAAATACCCGAGATGTTTTCCCGCTGTTTCTCTTGGAAACTCTGTACTCGCTGCTCTACCAGGTTCGTCACTTCGGACACTTCGGCTTGTGCTGTGCCCCATGCACTTCTATTGATAGATTGGAGCTCCGACTTTCGCTTATTCTTCGCTCTGAGACCATCCACATCGTGCACCGTCTTCTGCAGGGTCGCAATGAGCTCCCCGCCAACTTCGGCCAGCTTCTCCTCAGTTTCCTGGTGAGCTTTGCGGAGGTGAGTCTCCTCGGAGAGACTCCTTCTCGTTGCCTTGAGCACAACCTCTGTCTGTTCGAGAACTTCCTGAGTTTCATCGAGCTCAGCCTTGGTGCCTTCGTGGTCCTTCCGCAGTCCCATGAAGCTAGATGTCAGAGCAAAGAGCTCCTGCACCTTGTTCTTCAGGTTGCCCTCGAGGGTCTCCATCTTGGCTGCCTGCTCCTCCATGACAATGCGTCGCGATTCGCTCTGGGCCGTCATCTCCTCATAGCTCTCGTTGGAGAGGTAAACACCGTTGCGCTGTCGAGTCGTAATCAGCTCGCTCTTGAGTCTCTCGATCTCGGTCGCAAAGTCCCTGAGAAGCATTCTCTTGTTGATCATTGCGTTCATCTGCGGCTTGTTGCGAATGTTCTTGGCTCGGAATGCATAGTCTAGTGTCGAGATTGTCTCCTCGAGGTTGCTCTTTGCCGGGGAAATGGTGGCAATAATACACGTCTTCGTCTGTCCACCCAAGGAGTCTTGCAGAAGTCTGGTAAGCTTCGACTCTCTGTAGGGGATGTGCTGGCCTTTGTCCACCAACGCATTGATGACTCGGCCAAGCGTCAGAAGACTCTTGTTGATCAAGCCCGCCTCGGCAGCCCGCTTGTTCTCCGCCCCGGATCGTTGAATGTTCTCACTACCGGCCAAATCGACGAGGTTGAGCTTGCCGGCGCTAACGTAATCGTCACTTCCATCTTCGCCCTTCTTGCGGACGTAGGCGGTAACAGTGAATACCGTGTGACTTCGGGAACTGAGGTCGTTGCACTTTGTCGCCGCTACCTGGCGCTTCAAGCTTCCATCCTGAAGAACCTTGATACCTTCACCGGCGTTTCTGATGTGTCTCTCTTCCATGCCCTGCACCACTGTCGTCGCGTGTCTCCTTGATGTGTCATCAAATATCTTCAGCTTCGGGCCGTCCTCGACTGCGATCAAGTCGCGTAATTCTTCGTTGTAAAGTTCGATGAATGAACACTTGACGCAGCTTTCGGTATCGTCTACTTCGAGTTTGTTGAACAGCGCGTGGAGAGCTCGGGGGATGATACCGGCATTATCAGAGAGAAGACCAAGGGTCTCTGTCATGTCACCTGACATGGTGTAGGTCTTGCCGGTACCGGTCTGGCCGTAGGCGAAGATTGTGCAGTTGAAGCCAGCAAGCATCTGCGTTATGTTAGCCAAGTCTTGATCGCTAGGTCGCATCTAAGACGCACCTCATCCAAAATGGGCTTGACAGTGTCATCAAAGACCATAGTCTGGTCAGCCGCGGCAGAAAAGACGCGATCAAAGTTATACGTCTTGTTGCTCAGCGCATTCGGGCCGAGCTTCAGCTCGACATTCTTGCCCTTTGCGCCATCAGCCTGGACAACAACGGCGCTATTCTCCTTGACTTCGCGGTCGTTGCGGCCTCTGCATCGGACGACGACGTTGATGTTGGTCTCCTGGCCCGGCGTCTCGAAGTCGTATTCGCGCTCCTTACGCTTCGTCGCGTTGGTGGCAACCGAGGCGACTGATTCGGCGGGCGAGGCGGGACGTTGAGTCTGGGACGGGCCATGTTGGTATCGCAAGTTCGAGGTCCGCGTTCCAGGGCGCACGCTCGAGCGAGCGGCGGCGCCGGTGCGCAGGTTCGACGAGGCCGTCCTCGTCAGCTCCCGTCTGGAGCTCATGATTGGGGTGGTGGTATTTTTCGAGTGGTTGATAGGTGATCGGGGGAGAATAAGAGATTAATAGACTGCAAAATCCAAAATCGAAAAAAGCACAGCTCGCCGGGGAAAAGTAAGTGCCGTTTCGTGTTGAACGGGGTGAAGTCGGAGCTGTCAAAAAGTGGTGGCACTCGGTAGGATATCGTGTTGACAATTGCCAGGGTTAGTAAATAGAAGATGCGCGCTAAGTGGGGGCAAGCTCTGTGGTTGGTCTGCGGAGTGTGCCGTCACCCGGACAACCGCCCCACCAGCTCATCTGCCCACACACCGTTGTTTCCTCCCGTCCTCAAGGCTGTTTTGGTCCTATTCCTCACCGCACACCGAACCTGGGGCGCTCACCGAGACACGTAGACATGAGGCGTCCCGTTATGCAATTGTTCGATTCGAGCAAGATACGGTACATTTCTCTATTTTTACCTGGTGGCGAGTCTCCTTCAACATCAAATCGCATAAGCAACCTCTAAACTAGCCTAGTGTGGAAGACCTATTGTGGGTGTACCGTCCACAGTCTTGACATCGTGAATGCGCCCATTCAACCCCTCTGACCAGCAACTGTCGATAGATCCAACCGCATAAACGTACCAAGCCAAGCAGATTTATTAGTACGCGCAAAGCTGAAGTCATCGACAGCAACGAATCCTTGCTGTTCATAGAAACTATGCCCTGTCGTCAGAAGCCCGTCTCATCTCAATTACTCGCCAGACACACTCACTTGTTCAACTTCTTCTCGTTCCCAGCCCACGCATCAACATAAAGCACCTGCATGCCCTTCTCAACCCCGTACTCCTTGGCCCGTCGAACGAGCGCTTCTCCAGCGCCTTTACGATGACGTCCAGCCCTGAAATCCGTGACGACAACATCAAGATACACGAAATTCCTCTTCCCCTCCAGCTCGGCGCGAATCTTGTCTTGCTTAAACTGCGCCTTCACGTGGCCCGGAAGCCAATTTGTGCGGACGAAGGCAGCGCCGACGGATAAGTAGCGCTTCCCATCCTCGGCGACCCTGAACCGAAGGCCCGGCTCGTCTAGCCCGGCGTCATGCGGGGTAATCTCAGCCGCCGCCGAGGAAGACCCAACCTCAACTTCGGCGATGAAGATTCGCAGAGCGTCGCCTTCGCCGGTAGTCCGGTATCTCTCCGACGTCTCAACGTCCTTGAGGTTCTCCTCGACGAAGCCGTCTTTCTGGCTAAAGGGCTGCGACCCCCACATCTCGCCGCTGCCCATGGCCGCGAGCGGCGCGAGGACCGAGTCGAACGCCTTCACGATGAAGTCCGCATCGTGGGGGATTTGACCGGCGTTTCTGACGTTCATTGCATTCATTGAGGATTGCTGCGGATGCTTTACAGGGATAATTGGCGATGGTATGGCAAGATGAAAAAGTCAGAGGGGGAAAGAAATGCAGAATGTCCCAAACAAGATTTCTACCTACCTATTCAAGGTATAGTCAGCATCGCTTGGCTCCTTTGCCGTACTGTTCCCAACCGCACACAGTTGAGATAGCCACACGTTCCAACCCGCAAATCAAAAGCGGCGAAAGCGGTATGACTGTCAGTTCTTCACTCAGGGGAGAACAACGTCACCTGTAGCAGACACCGGCTTTGATGAGCAGGTGATGGATGTACAGGTCGAAATTGGCCTCATTGTGGTCATTGTGTGTACCATGCTGTAAGGCGTCGTGTGCTTGAAGCTGCCCTCGTAACACCTTGATTCAGATCTAGATACTCCCTGATTGTTCGGATGTTTTTCTCATTGGCGGCGTCTACTTGAACAAATGAAAAAAATGCTGTCTAGCAACGAGGCGTGGTCGCGAGGAATAACCATTAGTGATTGTTTTCGATTGTATCCATTTGTGACGTGTATCAAGGATTTCAACTCTACGCGGTGTATATTCCATCGATAAAAATGCGCAATAACTTGGAGCCTGAAAACTATTCCGTGGCATATTTTCGCTGGTGCTCAACTCATCAGATACTGACCTGGCGTTCGCTCAGCTTCGAACGTCTGCCACTGAGCGTCGATTTGCTCACCATAATCAAAGCATGACAAGTTGTGTACGAACTATACAGGACTCGCAGTCGACACGCCGTTAATGAGCACGACATGGCCGACGTACGTTGCGCGACATCGTTGCACGACTGCAAGACGTGGACCCCGTCGCCGGCGGTAGTTGCTCTTAGATATCAGATCAAACTTTGACACATCTTGGCGCAAAGAGTGAGGCGAGTTTTTCGTGGATGAGATTGTCTCGAGGCAAGCCTAGACGGAAAGCCGTTCGAAGCGGCCTAGTTCCTTCAACAGGGCTGCAATCCTTGTTTAGTGCTCGACTCGCTCCGCCGGACAGCGTATTTGTGCGTCAAGATGAGCCATGCTCTCTCTTTCATCTACCTCTCAGGTGACGCAATAGATGTCAATGATCTTCATCCTTCCAACATGTCAGGCCCTGTGGTACCTGAGGTTCGGCTGCGCTGTTTCTGATCCTCGGCCGGATACAAGCCCTAATATCATTGGGCATAGAGGCGCCTGCATTGGGCATGAACGTGAGTTCGACGTTGAGGTATGCAATGGGATTTGATCCCAGTGGTCCATAGAGCAGATGGCGAGTGAACTGGGCATGCCATCTCTGAGGCCACATCTGTGCGTGGTCGCACGGTTGGCCCACTTGTAGTCTTGAAACTGTCCGCCGACGCCGGCAACAATCTGCAGGATCCATCATCATACTTCAAAAAGAAGAGTAAAGGTCGATAATAGTGACAAAGGCCGGCAAGCCCAAAAAAATTCTTGAGAACCCCGGCTGAGTCAAGCAACGTTTATGGAGCCGGCACCTCTGCCGTGGAAGTTGTCGGCCTTGTGTGTTTGGCTAAGTTAGTGAAAGCATATGTCGGAGGAGAATGACCATAGAGTAGCTCACAGACATCTCGAATCTCGTTGCATTTTTTTACCCGGCGGCATGATGAGGCCTAGCGCAGGAATTTTCAGACTGCGAGAACTGGCAAGATACCCCTGACCGGGAAGGCCGCATTTGTTGCAAGTTTTGACGAAAATCACCTGAAGTATCGTGATCCAGAAGATGCAGAGAAGCATCCAAATGACAGAAATGCGATGAGACCGAGCGATGGGATCTAGGCGGATCGTGCATGCTGATCCCATAACTCCTGTCGTAGAATCACGTATCAACGTCGATGGTCATGCTGCTGCGTGGTGTGATTGATCGGACCCGTGGAAAAGTTGTTCGCTCATCCTCAGTTGTCTGCTAGCTTTTGCGAAGTGAATTCTGAGCATACCCAGCTGTCGAATCCACCACTGTGCTCGCAGCGGGTAAGTGTGATGGTCTGATCGAATGTCAATTTTCTGGGAGTATAGGCATCGATGAGTCTGCTCACGTTGAGCCATTACTTTGAGATGAGTAGAATTCGTTAGTCGAACAGCTGCCCCTGGGTATAAACTGGTGTACACCCAGACAAGGCCAGGCAAAAAAGCCATAACTCCTGGAGCCTCAGTTGGTTCTAGTTCTGATCTCTAAAGACCAGCAGCACTCGCTATAACAAGCGAGAACGGCTCTCAAGACCTATTCCGAGAGGCGCAGCAAAGTCAATTGGAAGGCAGGGCGAATCCGAAGGCGAAGTACGAGTCCCGCGGCAAACCGATCGTGGCATAAATATAGCGGGAGCTGTGTGCGAGGCGAAATTTTGGAGATTAACGCCTTGCGCTTCCGTTGATGTACTTTGTGGGTCTTGGCAGCACATTAGGTTCCCATTAATTAGAGAAAATGAAGAGTAAGCCAAGACACAGCTTGAGACAGTGACAGCGCGGTAAGACTCCCAGTATGGGATTGATGGAATCGAACTGGCGACAGGCGGACGAAAATGGCCTGTGATCTAGTTCAGGCCCCATATTGAATACAAAGTGGTGTACAGGACCACATATGTCGATCTCAATTCCGAGCGAGCCGTAGTGGATGGAGGGTTGGCCAGGAGGTTGATTGAATGGCGTGAGAAGTATGCGAGACCACGGCTCATCCTTGTAAAGCAGTAGATTGAACTAACAAGAATAGGTGAAACAGAGTGAGAGTTCGTCGAAGGAAGGTCTGTGGGTATCAGGCCTTGGAGGCTTCTCCGTGCTCAACTTCAGGCGAGAGAGCGAGATCTACCGAATGGAGTATCTTGTTGGCCATTGCAAGCACACTTGTTGCAGAGACGGGATAGTTTCCATGCGGAGACAGTAGGGAAGCCGGTGGAGAAGCCGGAAGCCTCGCGTGAGTAGAGACTGGAGAGACTTCCCGGAGGTATGTCCGGTGGCATATGTCCTGGCCTTGGCAAGATCTGTCTATTGGCTTCTGGTGGTTGGTGTTCGTGTGTAGAAGAGATTCATGACGATGCTGCAACCTTGCAGGTGAATGGAAGAGGCATTTCCCCGACGAGCCAAGAGGTTGCGTTTGCATTAACTTGAGATGATGTTGGTGCCAGGTAACAATTTCACTGGTTTCCCCGCGTGTGCCTTGCTAATAGGAATTCAAGGATCTAGTTGCCTTGGGCACGAAAGGTACCTTGTAGCGGGCCGAAAATACCACGCTTGGCAAGTACTTTCTCGAGTGCCCTTTCCTGGCCATGTTTTTGCCTTCCAGCGTCTCAGATATGAGTTGCGCGGGTACCTTGGTCGTGACTTATCGTTTGCAGCGGAAGGAAGCTTCAATAGGTAAGATAGTCCCCAACAGCTTCCCCATCCTCCACTGGTTCTGTGACTTCTGACTGGGTTCCGTTGGAGCTTGGTTGCTGATTAGATAAGAGCTCATGGCCCCTGCATGTGGATCTGCTGCACCTTCCTGTCGATGATGCCGATTCGCTCCAAAGGTCCTATCTCGTACCTTGTACCTCTGATAAGCGAGTGACGTCTCATTCCGACCCCACGCCCCGCTAGTCCGTTGTCACTGCTGAGTGCTGCAGCATCACATGAACCCCCCTGACGGACCCGTGAACAGCGACAGGAGAACAACTTGCGCCGTCTGTACTGCTGCCTCTCAGAGCACTCTCCTTTCTCCATCCACAACTCCTTTGCGCAAGACATTACGAAAACGATCAACAGACACTTTTTATGCCACCATATCCATTGTAGAACCCGACGGAGTTCCTGCAACGACACCGCCCTGAACACTCAGTGGACCCCGCGCCAGCCCCGATCCTATTGCTCACCATGTCGCTCTTCACTGCGCAACTGCATCCAGGACGAGCTCTGGGGTTTCTCGGTTTGCATGAACTCTGCCTGCTACAGGACACACTCGGACGCTAACTCTATTGCTTGTCGCTTAGTTCTTGGAGCGTCCTTGCATGATGTCTTGACGCGACTGAAGGCCGAACCGCAACGCTTTCCACAACTCGACCTTGCCTACTCCCGCGAGCAACCCGTTGAACAGCCCGTAACACTCAGCCTCCCTGCCAACGGTATACGACTGCGATTCGACGGACCGGAACAGCGTCTGCGCTTGATAGAGATCGTCGACTTTACCAAGAATCATGTCACGTTTAAGGACCGTGATCTCGTCAAACCAGCCAACGCGCAAGGACCGCCATCGTCTCCAGTTCCCGGAGAATCTACCTCCGGCCCAACCTTCCGACAAATATACCACCGCTTGCTCGGACCAACCTACGGTGGAGAGTACATACCCCCTACACCCGATTCCTCCGATAACCTGGGTAACTACATACTGTCCTACCCTGGCGTTGCCTTTACTTTCCGACTGGCCGAATCCGCATATTCGCCCAATAAGGATGTCGTGTCGCTCCTCTCTGCTGCGACAAGCCAGGTGCCCACATCCATGGCTGTCTTCAGCGGTGACTCGTGGGCCCAAGCTCGAGAGAGCCTTTGGACAGAGGTTCTCCCGAGTGTCAAGACAGTTCCCGTTCTTCCAAGAGGGAAGGATGTCGTTCCCGACGAAATCTCGCTGGTTAAGATTCATGGTGGTGGGAAGCTCCAGCTGTTCCGCAAATGGACCAACTCATCACTTTGGATTATCCTGGGAGAGACAAGCCCACAGGAGTTGATTGCCGAGCTCGGCCCCCCGAACGCTACTTATCGGAAGAACGACCAGAGAATGACAATACACAAGCTTCGGACGGCGAGCCACAGCAGAGCTCGGTCAAACGGCGCTGACTTGAGTCGGCCAGACGATCTTACTGACACTGACCAATCATCTGCCAATACTGGCTCGGACGACTCCAACGATGAAGCCATCGAAGAAGACATCGCCGGAAACGTTTCTGGCGAGTGTTTCTACAATTACTTCTATTTAGGATTTGATGTGTTGGTGTCCACTCCCTCGCCTCCCTCGAGACCACCGCCTTCTCAGCAGGAGTCTCAAGTGCCACCAGGAAAGCCCATCAAGTCGGAGTCTCCTGATCGTCTAGTTGCAACAAAGCTGGTCCTCCATGGCAATGTGCCTGGGTCATATGAGTTCAACAGACACCGTCGCTGCCGTTGGGAGGTAAGCTATCTTGACGATGGCTCTCCTGGTGCGGCGGCAAACTCAGAGACCAAGTTCACCGAGATCAAAGATAGACTGAACGAACGGTGGAACAGCGCGTACCCTGAAGGCGACTCCCGAGCCCCTCAAAGAGGCATGGTGCTCAATAGGGGCTGGGGAGATAGCCCCGGCAGCAGCTGCGAGTTTCTTGGAGGTTGGGAGGACAGTGGCGCCAAGAGATTCGATGGTAGCGACGATTCAACCACTACTCTATTTGGATTCCCCGGTCTCGTGTTTGAGGTACTCAAGAACGATCATGTTAACACGGTGACTGTGTTTTAGGTTTGAGTTGGGCATAAACCTGGGGTCAGGTGGTTTGGCGATTGAGCGGGCAGGAACTGCAACGGCCACGGAGCTCAAAAACTGGCCGGGAAGACGAGGCTACAGAATGGCCGCGATATCCCTACAAACAAGCTGGGGTTATGCTCAAATCCAGATGCATATTCAGACACCACCACTTCACATCCCTTTAGCCTCATCCTTAGGCTTGTCCACCAACTTAACATGGAACAGCTATGACGTGGCCGATATCAGATTCTTTCTTTGCGAGGCTTCTTTTCCATCCACTTGCAATATTCCGTCTGATTTTGCATTCATGCAAGACAGACTTGGGATATTTCAGCTATGTCCTCGCTTTCCTTGTCGGTCTGACTCGGGCCATGTTTCGGGAGCCAAGGGCTTCCATTGCATTGCCACCAGCACCTACCATGTTGTAAAGCTCCAGCAGCTCCGAGCTGGCCGTCCGCGTCGAACACCTTCCGAAGCTGTATGGAAAACAATAAATAATACAGCTAGAAGCCTCTTGTGATCGGCTGCAGCATAGAACAGTTAGTTATTCATTGAATACCCAGAGATACCCCCCAAAGATACCCATATACCCCCCGTTCGCATTATTCAACATGGCAAAGAAGACCGCGCCCGCAGGAGCCCAGAACGCCAAGCAGAATGCTTTGGCTCTTAAGCGCTACCTCCCGCGCAAGCTTAGGGAAGCTGCCGAGGACGAGGCCGCAGTGGAGAAGGGAGTTGGACACGACCTGATCATCTACAGCTTCGATCGCCCTACCGGCCAGTACGGATACACACCCTTTTCGATTCAATTGCGTCTTCGCCTTCGCCATGCCGGAATTCAGCACGTAGACCGCGCTGCCAACATCTTCCAGGCACCCAAGTATCGGGTGCCCTACGTCAAGCTTGCCGACTCGGATGAGCTTGTTGGCGAGTCGCAGTTCATCATCAAGCGTCTTGTGCAGACCGGCAAGCTCCAGGACCTCAATAAAGAGCTCTCTCCCTCCGACCAGGCCAAGGATGCTTGCATCCGGGCTATGCTGGAGGACCGCGCCTACTTCCTCATTGTAAGAAGAACCTACAATATGACCGTGATGGGTTTAGGGGCCTATGCTAACACTCACCGCAGTTGTACGAGAGATGGCGCGGCCAGTATGAGATGATGTGGCACGATGGTCCCTTCTCCCACTTCGTTTGGGGCGCCAAGCAGATCTCTACTCAGGCGGCTCGCGGCTACGTTAACTCGCAGCTGTGGTTCCAGGGCGTCGGCCGCTACTCCGACGAGGAGGTCAAGGCCTTCGCCACCGACGTTGTCATGTCCCTGAATGGCTTCTGCGAGACCTCACTGTCGAAGCTGAGTCTCGATTCGCGGGAGTCCCGGGAGCCGTTCTGGATCCTTGGCGGCCAGCGCCCATCCGAGGCTGACTTTATCGTCTACGGCAACCTCGCTACCGTGCTTGGCACCACTGTGTAAGTAATGGCATACGATTTGGCACTAGAATGGAAAGAGGCAGAGAGCTAATACAATGCGACACAGCAACCCCGTCCACGCCGCCCTCATCCGTGAGAAGCCCGCCCTGGTCGAGTACATGGGCCGCATCCACGAGCGTTTCTTCTCCGAGTACAAGTCCCCTGTTCACGCTTAAGTTCGGTTAGGGTGAGATACCCCGATACCCCCAGGTCACTCCAAATGCGAGAGACTGGTCTGCGCCCTTCCATGTTGTTGGTGATTTTCCTTTTTATGTTCGGGCCCGCCAGGTACACGGGGATTGGGCTCTGCGTTGGATTCTTTGTATGAACTTTGGTTACTGGAGATGGGGGGGGGGGGGGGGGGGGGGGGACGGAAGCTTGGAACGATGGGAAGGAGGGGGGCGACGCTGGTAACAGGCCCTCGTTAGGAGCGCACAAAATACCTAACTCGAGTTTTTTCTGATCTTTCCTAGAGCTACAATAATCTGTTCCCTCTATGTTGGTTATGTGTATTGGATTGTGTAAGTGATGTGGATCATATGTGGTATGAAGGCGGGAGGGTGCTAATTTCCCCAAGAGATACATAAGAGAAGTTTGTATGTTCATCGACAAGAGAAATGCATAGGCAACACTTCGAGATGTCCGGGCGACGTATTCATCAACCTCCTTCCACCTAGGCAACCACCGAACACCTCTTCATCACATCGCCAACCCCATCCAGGTATCCATCACTCACCACTCTGCCGCCACCGCTGCCGCCACCGCCGCAGTAGGTCTATAGAAAACTAATTTGTTTGATACTATCACCAAGGCCTGTGACGTAGCGGGGGATGTCTCTTTGACGGAATAGCCCCGCACTCATCGGACCCTGGTTCGAGTCCCGTATGTCTACTTGTAAAACTCCTGCATCGTTACACCTGAGGCTGGTAAGAGTCTCCTCGGATCTTTCGTAGGCTCCCGATTGGGGGCCGAGCTTTTGCAATTTTTGCTGAATTTAGTTTCAGTTCTTGGGGGATCTGCTTTTCGGTCGTTATCGTTACAATTGGTTGAATTGTTTTACTGGACATGTTGCTATTGTTTTGTCCAGCTTTCATGATAATTACACGACACGATACTAGAGCGCTGCCATGACTATTGGCATAGGTAGGCAATTCGGACACCTTCAAGGCCAAATCCCACTTTGAATCAGAGCGCCAAGCTGGAGAGGAAGCACAAGGATAAGTCGTTCCTCTTTGACAACATTAAACGTGGCTCCCACGCTATGCCCGAAATCTGCACCTGACCCTACATAGTGATTGGCAATGGATTATACTTGCCAGGAGTCTTCTTTGTAGATGCAGTAGAGGGATATATGCCATGTGGTTGAGAGATGTCGAACATGATGTTGAAGCAGGGAGACCCTTTCAGATGCAATGGGCGGTCTGATCCGGGAAACCTTAGCGCGGATCGGGGGCCGGGATCCATCGACCTGCCGGCTTAGCGCGCCCAACGAGTACACGACGTCAAAGCCATACTGGTTTCCGTACAGTACCTACTTAGCTTGAAGCAGGAAGTCTGGTGGCCTGGGCGACGTTGAAAGACCCAAGACATGCGAGACAAATGAGTCCTTTGTCTGTCGTGCCGTTGATCGGCTGGTTCCCCTTTGCCCCGAGCTAGACCAGTCTGGTGAGGGAGTCTCTCTCTTTCCATGATTGGACGAGATGCGGTGGCTCACCGGAACTGGGGGATGTTCCGCTCCGGCGATTGCCGAATCGGGTGGGGCCATACATGGATCCTTTTGCATGTGTGGGGTCACCAGGTGGGACCAATCTTAGCGTAGTCGGCTGTAACGCCACGGTACGTGACGGTAGAGCTACCTGCGTGCCTGCTTGCTGCCAGGCTTTTTGGCTGCGTAATGGGTGTGAATGGGTACTTTGTATTCGTACCTACGCAGTAGGCGTTGAGAACCTCAGGAGCGTTGGAGCTAGCTGGGAACCCTGGACCGTGTTTGTCCGTGTGCTCGCCGCTTTGCTTGACTCCTGTCGCTGTCGCTGCCGCTGCTACTGGTGCTTCTACAGTCAGTTCTAAAGTCTACTGTTGAGAGTTGGACTGCCACGATCCTGGGCAGCGAGAGATCGACGCCAACTTATGCTCAGCTGGCACATGTCAATGCCCTGTTTCGACTCGGACGAATCAGCGCCAACATTTCCAAAATCTTCGTCACCTTTCGTCCCTTCACATGGGGTGTTCCGTTACTTGGCTTTTTTTTGACTTGTCTTGAACCCGCCCACCCACTCCCTTGCATCGAACCAAGAGTACATACCATGGGAGTCGCGAACCCCTAAAAGTTCCCCCTCATCTTTTTAACCCAACCGACACTTTCCATCGCCCGTCCACTATCCGAAGACCGGACGGACGAGAGCAAGCAGAGCTTGACGACGAAGACGACGACGACGACGACAGCGATAGCGACCAAACAGCGTCGATACCGACGAAACGGCTGGTGACAACATAAAATCACAGCTTGGCCGGCCATGCGAGCATCTCCGTCGCAATGACGGAGAAAGATGCCGCCCAGCAGCGTGCCATTCTCACGAGGAAGCTGAGCCCGCACTCTATGCCTGGCGATAGGGGCAGCAGCAGGGGTAGCTACGAGACGGGCGAGTCAAGTGCCACCGGCAGCCTCCTCAACGACACGACCCTTTTACCATCCCCCGACGAGTCCAGCGCCGCGCGCCGCCCACTTTCATCGAGCCCGAGAGATGCTGAACATACAAATGGATACCATGGGGGCAAGCCCGACGCGAGGAAGCAGCAGAGAGCACCTAGGCATCGCTCTACTGGAGCCTTTTTGCTGCAGGATGCCTTTCGCAACGATGACGATTCCGAGGAGGAGGAGCAGGCACACCGTCTACGGCACGTAACGCGAAACATACCCCCCAGCCGGAGGACCAAAGATTCGGGGAGGGCATCGGATAGGTCTGGATCCAGCGCTGGTCGCGAGGCTGGCTACGGATTCGCTGGGCTTGAGAGCCCGCCAAGGCGAAACGGCGATTCCTCGCCGCCGCAACCTACGAATAAACTGACGGTCAGGAAACGGGATGCGCCCAACGGCAGTAGACCGTTGTCGGGGACGAGCTTCGCGCCGCCTGCGAATGCCCCGCTCGATATCGACTCGGCGCAGATCGTGAATATGGCTCTGAACTTGAGCGAGTCCCGACGGCAGGTGTCGCGAAGGATCGCACCGCCTCAGGCTGTGCCGACGCTGGCACAACTTCCCGACGGCCCGACGGGCGCCAATCTCAAGAACCATCTGCAGTCGCAGAGGAGGATGTCGAGGACGAGGTCCCCGGGGCCTGAAAAGGCACTGACTCCACGATTACCCTCGACGGGGATGCTTAGCAGCCCGCTGCAGGCGACGTTCGACATGAGCCGGGAAGGCACGTTCCGTAATCACTTTACCGCGTCGACCTTGGCACGAGTACAAAAGGCGAAGGAACATCTGGAGCTGATGGCCCAGTACAGGCGTCTGTTGGAGCTAGTCCCACCCATACAGTCGCACAACCAAAGCCGCCCGACGACCGCCAGTCCGCCCACATCCTCTGGAGGAGTTGCGAGAGTTTCCACCTATGGTAGTGCCGATGGCAGCGTGCGGCTAGGGCGTCCGTACAACCCTTTACAATACATCCGCAATAGAAAGGTGCGAGCTCGGGAGCGGAAGGCGATCGACGGCGAGGCCCAGGGTTTCGGGGACTTTATCAAAGTCGCCGACTGGGTTGATGAGGTGGCCAAGTGGGCTGCGACGGGCCAGGCGAACGCAGATGGCTGTACGCTGCCGCCCTTCACGGATGCAGACGTGGTGGAGCAGCAAAACGCTCTTCAGGCTACCACCAGCGCTAACAAGCCAAGGAGACCAAGGCTGGATTGGACCATCGACGCAGCGGACCTACTTGCCGATGTGTACTGGCTGGAACAAGATCACCACAAGCAGCTGATTGAAGATCGTCACTGGCGCCGGATCTTCCCTCAGAATGCCGAATTGCACAGACCTTTGTCTAGACAGAACGAAGAGTATGGCAGCGAGTTGGGACAGACACCAGGACGTAAGGAATATGAAGGACTAGGGCCCACGATCGATCCGAAATCCAGCAATACGGGGCTTGCTAAGTCGGATACGGAGCATTCCACAGCGAGCGCTCGAGAACGTGCCCGCCAGAAGCTGCACGATCTGACTGGACATCATCATCACCACCAACACCACCGGCACAGTAACTCAGTCCATAGCCATTATGACTGGAAGAACGGCAAGAACTCAGTCTCTGACCTGTCTGAAAGCGAAAACGAAGGCAAGCTTAGGAAGGAGAGGAGGAACCGAGCAGGTACCCTCACCAGCAGTCATCAAGACATCTTGGAGAAGCAGATGCTTGAGATGATTGCCAAAGAGGCGCGTGAGAACGGCCCCCAGAAGCCGGACGGATCGGGATACGTAACGCCGGAGCGGAATTCTGGAGTCACTTCACACCCACAGTCACGACAACACAGTCGGAAGGCATCTATCGTGGAGGCGAGCGAGTCTGATGAGAGGAAGAGTAAGGAAAAGCCTCGCTTCACTCCACTGCACCTTCAACGCGGCATGGGAAGGTCAAGTCTGGAGATCCCGGTGCCTGCGAGGAGAAGCTCCTTCGAAGTCGACTCATCTCTGCCTAATTCTCCAGACGGCGCCATTCGTGGAGACCCCTTTATCCCCGCGCTCGGCGGAGATCTTTCATCCGGATCGAGCCGGGCGAATTCCCCCACTCGAAACCCTTTTTCCAAGGTTAAACAAATATTCCGCGAGCGTAGCAAGGAAAGAGGTTCGCGCATTTCGGAAGAGAGATCCAGTGCGGAGGATCTGGCTAGCGCACCGAAGACGCCGTTTGAAGTCTCGCCTGAATCTTCGGGAGATCGAAAGTCGATGGATAGGAGAGGCTCGTCGAGAAGCCCGTCTCGAAAGGTTGTTCAACGACCAACTGGCGAAAGCCACAAATCTCATCGCAGTACTGCTAGCACCAAGTTGCGCAGTGAGGACCCGGGGATGCGAGGGTTATTTAAGGGCGCTCGCATCGACAATGTCATTCGTGGGGGCGTGTCAAAGCTGGGTGATTTGATCTGGCGTAAGGAATCAGAGACCGGCGATGGCCCGTCCGAAGCTGAGGGCACCACGACGGACGAATCAGACACCGAGCAGAGAGGCAGGAAAAGAGGAGAGACGCCGCTGTCACGCACAGCCTCGATCAGAAGTCAGGGCATGCGCCAGCAGAACGGCAAGACCTACCTTGACGTCATGCCCGCCTTTGAATCTTCTCATGAGAAGCTGAGGCACATTGAGAGCGAGCCGGCGAAGCTTCCGGACACATCACCACCGTCAGCAAGCCGTAAGTCACCTCGCTTCGACAGGCTGAAGCCGCCGCGCATCGATATTTTGAGCGCAAGTCCAACCTCGTCACCTGGATCGACGAAGCGCTTGTCAGATGTCTCGGAGGGTGAGCCGCTATCTGGCGGCCACAGTGCTGGACTAAAAGAGGCGGACAAGCGTCTCAACAATATCATTGCCGTCCCGCCCCCGTTCCCACCCGACGGCCGCCCCGGATCTTCATCCAACCGCAGTCGACACTGGTCTATCTCTGACCACAGCCCGGCACCCGAGCGAGCGCCCATGTCGAAGCGTGAAGTTGCCCGACTCCGTGCCCTGGTCTTGAGCTCCGGTATCAAGGCCATGGAAATCACCCGCCGCGCCAACGAACCCCATCTCGCGTTCGCAAACCGACAGACGCCGTCTCAGAATGACTTGCAGGTCGCAAACGTATTCTGGCCTAAGGTTGCCGAGCTCAGTCCCGACCCCGCCAGCCTACGCAAAAAGGCCGTACCGCAGACGGAGCTGTACCAGTTCGCCGCCAAGACCCTCGGCAAATCCATCCAGTGCGCTGGCCAGGACTGGCAAAAGACGGCGGACCACTTTGCCGCCGACACCGTCCCGGCCCTGCACCGTCGGGTGGAGGATGTCCGCCGGCGAGTGGCGACGGACCTCTCTGCCATGACGCGCGCGGCAGCCGACGAGGCGGACGAGACGAGCCGCGATCTCACGCTGGGCCAGCGGCTGAAGATTAAGCATACGCTCGACGTGATTGAGGCCATGCTAAGGCGACGCAGACGCAGGTTTCGCTGGGTCCGTCGCGCCATGTGGCTTGCTGTCGAGTGGGTGCTTGTCGGGTTCATGTGGTATGTGTGGTTTGTCGTCATGATTCTGAGGGTGTTTTGGGGTGTTGGGCAGGGGGCTGTAGGAGCTGTCCGGTGGTTGTTGTGGTTGTGAGCTAGGACCCTTTATTTGGTTGTTCTCGCGGCGCCTTGTTCTTAACCCCCTTGACCCTTGTTTGTAGCGGAGAGTTCAAAGTTGAGGATTGGGGGGTTTTTTTTTTGTGTTTTCTTTTGGTAACACGCTCATCATCATAAGCACTGTCATTACTATGCATAGCCGACGGAGCAAAGTTTTCTTTGGGAGTCAGCATACGGGGATGCGTTTTGCGCAGACGTGTCGTTGTCGTACGCGAGTCATCGGGTGTGGTGGAGCAAATGGAGGGGGAAAATAAGAGAAGAGAGAGAAAAGGAGAGTAGAGCGGAAGAGAAGTAATGATACCCGGAAGAGGGGAGGGAAGTAGGTGAGGGAAAGATGGGGAGAAACAATGGTTCTGTTCCAGTTCGACTATGTCCGCTTGAGTGCGCCTTTTAGTTATTTTTTTCTTTTATCTTCCTCCCCTTTATATGGTGGGATGGATGATGTTCGAGGACTGGATTCTCTGCCTGCAGGGAGGGGAAAGCGGTATGTGAGGTCACTATTTCCGTTCGGGAGCTTTGTATATACATATAATGATACAGACATACTACAATGATTCCGGACAAGATTGATAGGTCTAACACTGAGTATGATGAATGAATTGCGCATCACGTTGCTAGTTGGCGGCCTACTCGACCTATGGAGCTCACTGCGGTCTCCTAGCTTCTATCAAATTGGTATCCTGCCGAGCAAAAAGGGTCACTTCAGAGCGTCAATTTAGAAAGACTGGTGAAAAACACGCAAGTCTCATTCTATAGTGAACCTTTTCTCGCAGAGTTGCCCGGGAATCCGGAACAACCTTACCCCTCAAATTGGATATATAAACTGCTTATTCTGCAAATCCGTCAAATCCAAAACAGCCATATCGACCTTGACCCTGACCGTCTCACCACCCTCATCAACCTGCTCAACCCACCCATCCCGCTCGTCCTCGCTCAGGCCAGCGATATACTCCAACCGCTCCTTATTCCTCCTCACGAGAATGAACCGGATAATCCACAGAATCACAGGCGTGCCGATCCAGCTCACGGAAATCATGGACGCCCACGCGCCGTAGAACCGCGGCGCGTTGGAAGGCACCCAGATCTGCGGCGACACGAGGTTGCCGACGTTGTAGCCCAGCATGAACATCACATTCCGCGTCAGCTTCTTGGTATACCCCGCGGCCGTGGACGTCGTCCACCCGAGAGCAATGATGTACGTCACGCCATACGTCGCCGCCGCGAGGATCAGGCAGGCCAGGAGGCCGATCTTGCGGTCCCACGGGATCGTGACCATGGCGATGCCGCCGGCCACGGCAGGCATGCACCAGACGGTCCCGTGGAGCGCGAGGTTGCTCGGCCACCTGCGGAGAGCGAGGGTTGCGGCCACGCAGCAGAGCATGCCAAAGGCGCCGCCGGCTGCGGCGACGAGGGTCGAGCCGAGGGGTTTGATGCCGATGGAGGTTGTGATGAGGTTCTTTTGGCCGTAGTTTAGGTTGTTGGAGTACATTAGCGTGAACGATTGCAGGGCGAAGAGCCAGGATACGGGGTCGCGGAGGGTCTCGACGACTTGTTCGCGCTTGAAGCGTTTCTGCTCGATGGAGCTCTGGTGCGCGGCGTGGACGCGGCGGATGACGTGGATTTTCTCTTCGAGGGTGAGGAAGCGGGCTTCGGCTGGGTTGGAGGGGTACTCGAACCAGACCCAGATGGCGAGGAAAAAAGTGAGGCCTCCCGTGACGACGTGGAGGAGTTTCCAGGGGAGGACGGGCCCTGTAGAGTAGAGAAGGCCGTAGGAGAGGAAACCGGTGACGAGGGGCGCGGCTTGGCAAGTGATCCAGAGGACGGGCTGGAGGTAGGATTGCTCGCGGCGGTTGAAGAACATGCCGATTGTGATTTCCATTGCGGGGACGATTGTGGCTTCGGCGGCGCCGAGTAGGAGGCGGAGGACGATGAGGGCGGGGTAGGATGTTGCTGCGCAGTGAAGGAAGATGAGGGCTGACCAGATGAAGATTGTGATGGCTACGTATTTGCTGAAGGGGAGTTTCTGCATGAGGATGTGGCCTGGCCATTGGAAGGCTAGGTAGCCTTTGAGGATGAGGTGTTAGCTGCGTGTTTGTGTGATGGGTGTGGCTATGAGGAGGAGGAGGATTTGTAGGTAGGTTGCTTGCTTACCGACGTAGAACATCGTGTTCAAGTTATTGTATTGGGCTTGTCTGATGCCCGTTTCCTCAAAGAGGCCCAAGATAGCTGCGTAGCCGAGTGTCGACTTGTCAACCTGCGTAACAAGTCACGGTCAGCGAGTGGCTCATCACACAAACCCAGGTTCGTTGTGATGACTTACAAAAAGCATAATGTTGATGGCGGACAGTAGAGTCATGACACGAAGATAGAGCTTCCTCCTGATCTTCTTCTCAATCTCGGGCGTCAGGGGACCGACCTCGTCACCGTGCTGCTCGAGAAGCCGTAGCGTCACGTCGGCGTTCTTCTCCGAGACGGTCTTGCCCTTGGACGCGGGCGTCACTTTGAGCTCGACCCCTTTTTCGTCGGCCATGGTTTGGATAGTCTTTTGGAACGACAATTGGGGTCAAAGGCACGATTTATGAGGTGAAAATGCGCAAGGCCCGTCGATGAATTCATCTAGACTCGTATTAATCACACCTCAAAGACAGCCATCAGCGAGATCTGCCATCTTTAAACCCAATAGGTTCCATTACATCAATCACTGTTGTGGAGCCCTCACAATGTCGTTATCGAAAGACGCGATAGACTGCGTTCTCTTGTCGTCTCATTCTGTGAGGTTAATGGTGAGCCGGGTTCCGCCAAGCATCCAGTACGCGATGTCTCTCCGCTATCACGCAATACCGTGCGGCGGTCATCCTCCCGCTTTCACTCCGATATTTTATCAAATATTTAACAGGTTTAGGAAATCTCGTAGTATCACTGCATACAGAGTATTAGGCTACTAGTCTCCTGGTCGGAGCTAGCGCAAGCAATCCGCTCGTCGCATGTAGCGCAAAGGCCGATTTTTCGGGCTTAGACAAGGGTCGGATTACGGCCGACATCGTCTCTACATGTACTTTTCCAGGGATGAGAGTCATTCAAACAGCTGATTCTAGGCACGAGAAGGGAAAAGCTCTCAAATTTGAGTTTGGGCAAGAGCCGTAGCCTTATCTGGAAAGAGTGGAATCACTCTCCCGGCAACCATTCGGCTCAAAAAGCTCGGTCGACCGGAGGAGAAACTCGAACCAAGATCCCGGAAGGCCGATGGCCCCACATCGGCGCCGTCCTGGACTTACCTTGACTTCCATTCATACTATGTACTAACCCTTCAATGTAAAGCCAGTTACCTATCGGCTTACTTTCCTTACTATGCTTCTTAAACCGCTCAAAGACACTGAGAGTACCACTGATTCGCGGCCTGGCAAGTATACGGGCTCACACAGGCGGTACACCCGCTCCACCCGCTCCCGCCGCACTGGCCCCACCTCGCAACCGTGCACCCTCCGGTCGGCGGCGCACTCGCCGTCGACGTCGCCGGTGGTGCCGCCGAGGTCTGCGTCGTCGTTCCCGGCTGCGTTGATCCGCCCTGGCGAACGTTAGTCAAACTCGACAAGTGTTTCCACACTTCTCTCGCCCTCTTCCTCGAAGGAAAGAGAAAAGCACAAGGAAACAGAAAAGAATACTCACAGTAATACCAAACCACTTCAAATCCTCAGCCCCCATAACGGGCACGCTGTGTCCTACCCCAGTCCCATAAATACCCTCCAGGTTCGGCCCGTACACGTACTTTGTATACTGCCCGCTCGGCGTCCCAGGCAACGTCTGCTGCGGCGTGAGACTGTACCCAAACACCCCCGTCCACTGCTTGATCGTCTCATTAAAGTTCTGCGGGTACAGCGTCGTGTCGGCGCTGCCGTGGTAAATCTGCATACGGGGCCGGGCGCCGGAGTATCCCGGGTACATGTTGAGTGCCGTCTGCGCCCAGGCCTGCTGCGAGGCGATGGATTGGCCTTGGCTGCAGGTCGAGTTCCAGCCGTTGACGGTGCCGGTGTAGAAGCAGCCCGCGGGGACGCCTGAGTAGGCTATGCCTGCGGCGAAGAGTTCTGGGTAGGTTGCTGCCATGACGTTCTTGAGGAGTGTTCTGTCAGTACTGATATTCTCGTTCTGCGATTCCTTCTCAACAAGACACCGTTGCCAAAGGTTCGAATAGCTAGAAAGTAAAAGGGACTCACCGTCATCATCGCCCCCGAAGAAGTCCCCGTCACGAAAACCTTGCTCTTATCACCAGCATACTTATCAAGCGTATACGTCACCATATTCGCAATAGCATTACTGTTCCCGCCGCCGTTGTGCGTCAGCGACGCCGTCGAGCTGACGTCCCAGCACGTGCCAGAGTACGGCGACTCCGGGTAGATGACAATCAGCCCGTAGGTGTCGGCGTACCCCTTGTAGGGCGTGTTGGAGTAGTACGCGCTCGCAGTGCCGGAGCAGTAGTGGATCGCGACGATGACGGCCGGGCTCGCGGCGAGCTTGTCCGGGACGTAGATGTACATTTTTGCGCCGGAGGGGTTGGCGCCGAAGGAGGTTACTTGCTGGAGGGAGGCGGCGCTCGCGAGTTGGGCGAGGCCTGTGAGGGCTGCGGTTAGGAGGGTTAGGGGGCGCATCGTGAGGTTTTTCTTTCTTTCTTTTTTTGCTACTTCTTCGGCCTCTGTTACGGACGGTTTGGGACCTGAACTCGGTGATAAACAGCTGCATTTTCCATATCTTTGAGCGATGGGAGATGGATTGTGTCTTATATGTGCACGTTTTCCTCATTGAGGTTCTGCGAAAAGAGGGCGACGGACGCAATGATTCCGAGGAATTGCGGGCTAGTGGTGGCCGCGTCTGTCCCCCTCCATCTACCAAACAATCTCGGATCTCTGAAAAACTAGTCAAAGTCTTGAGATTCGCCAGTATTGAGTTCAAGACCTTGACGCAATTCTCGAAACCAAGTCCCATGGTTGTCTTCCTAACGGGGAAGGGATCTCTTACTTGTTATTTTCTCGTCACAGGCTCTGCTCATTCAACAGTTGAACAAGAAGCTTGGTAAAAAAAAATCTTGAAGAAGAAATCTTTCGCTTGTCCTGTTGAGCCCAGAATCGCCCATGCGAGCATGAATCCGAGTCAACGATCTTCACAGCCACCAAAAGGCCACGGATCGAAACACCATGTATGTCTCCGGATCCTGAACTGGAAAAAGTATTGATGCCACATGAATGTCCCCACTCGGCGATTCCGCCAGCTAGTCTCCGCCATCTCGTTCAGTCCACGACTGCAACGTTCCCCATCTTCCGGGTCAACGGAAGCGTTCGTTTCTGGAAATCTTCCATTCGTTGCATGAAGCCCACGAAGCCAGGCTGACAACATTGGAGAACGCCCACGTGGAGGTTTGGTGACATTGAGGCCCTTATTTAGCCTGAATGCGGCCAGCAGTTGAGCCTCCCTACACAACCTCCATATAGCCAGAATTCTCACACCTTCACATGAAGAGGAGGATCCAAGTACGTGGTGGATGAATGGTGTGGTTGCGTATTCGTACGACCTGGCTAAGAAAGAAGAATGATTTCTGGGCAAAAGGGTACTTGGGTCAATTCTTGTCGTCTCTTGCTATAAGAGGAACATGGGGAACGTGGCCCGAGGGGTATGAGAGGAGAGGGGGAGTCGACGCACTAACCTGAAAGTCCTTGAGCCTCACTTAACCTAATCTTTTGTTTGATTCCCTAGTGATGACCATTCTCTCTCTCTCTCTCTCTCTCTCTCTTTTCCTTTTCCTTTCCCTTTCCCTTTCTTTCTTTCTCTTTGCCATATAATCCAGGTCGATTTTACATGCAAGGCAAGTCTGAGAACCACGCCTAACCCCCTGACCTGCATTGCATCCAACATGCAATTCCTCGTGATGCGTTCACTGTCATCGTCACTCAAGTCACTAAAGTGAAATTGCAGCAGACACCATGTTTGGCACCAGGAGAAAACACACAATTAAATGGGCGAGAAGAAATAAAGGGGTGTATTATTCAGTTCTGAAGACAAGCTGTTAATTTTTGCGACATCTATGCCATGTCCATTCCATGCCTATAAACTCCCGGCTCGGCATTGGAAAAAGAAGTTATTGAATGCAAGGTCTCTGTATGGCCTTATTCGATGGAGAATGTGACGAAAGGGGTTCAATGTAGAATTTCGGACCAAGAAGCCGCCTTCCTTTTGAAAAACGTGCTCAATAACACACAATGTGAGCCACGAATAGAGAGAAGTTGAGCTGCAACCAGATACCAGTCTCACTCGACTCTCTTTTTGCCCTCCTCGGCGTGGAGATATCTCGCCGTGCTGAGGCCGCGCTCATGACGAGCGACAAAGGAGCCCAGGACGGAATCTTTCCGGGCCTTGGACATGTGCTCGGCGTAGCCCTCGTTGGCCCACGGTCTGGGGTTGAGCTTGGGCCAATTGACCTGAGACGGGATGTCAGCTGGATTGAACATGGATAGGGGAGAGTGGCAGCACGAGAGCTGTGACTTACGTAGAGCATGCCGTGGCTGAAGACAAAGCTGGCAGACCAGACGGCGACTGCGAGCCAGAACAGGATGAAGACACGGATGGTGACGACGGCCTCAGTCTTGGAGAAGAGACCGACGAGGACGAGGAAGATGCTGAAAGCGAGAAGGTAGGGAACGGACTGGATGAGAATAGGACGGCGGTCGGCGAAGACAAGGGAGCCGCCAATGTTTGCGGTTCCCGGTAGGAACACGCCGAGGAACAGGTCGTACGAGTCCTGGCGGGGTCCGTCGAAGAAGTTGTTCTTGAAGTAGCGGGTGACGCCGATGCGAGCGTCTTGGAGGGCGCCGACCTTTGTGCGGTTGCCGGTGCGAGTGACGTCGGTCTTCATGGCGCCGGTGCCAGAGTATGAGTTGGACACGACGTCGGCGTTGTCGGCCCAGAGGTTGCGGAACATGTGCTCAAAGGCCGGGTCTTCGTCACGGAAGGATGAGCCGCGGGTCTGCAGGCCCATCTCCTCAAAGATGCGGTCCAACATGTGGCGTGCGAACATGGACTGCACCACGTTTGTGCGATCAAGACAGTCCATGCAGTTTGTGCGCATGACACTGGTCTGGTAGCTGCGAGGCTCGAGACGGCCGTCGTTCGATCCCGGCATGTCCACCGCACGGAAGTAGCCCTGATCGTGGAGAGCCTCCTGGAGCTTCTCGACAAGGGCGTATGCGCGGTGCATCTTCATGCCCTTGGTCTCGTGATGGTAGTCAAAGTAGATATAGTGCAGGCGGTCAAACTCGACGGCGCGCTTCTCAGGCTGGATTGTGGTGAACTTTTCGTCCGTGATGCGGTCGCCCTCGGTTCTCTCCTTTGGCGACGATACAAGCTTCTCGACCATTTGCTCGTACGAGTTCTTGACGCGCTGCTCGCGGCCCTTCTGGTTCACGAGGTTGATGAGGTAGTTGTCGCCATAGAGACGGATCTGCTCCTCGAAATGCGCCTTGGCCGCTGGCAGAGCGCTGTCGATGCCGCGAACCTGCAGCTTGGGAACGTAGCGGAGGCTGTTGATCTCGGCCCAGTAGGTGGGCACACTGCCGCGAGTCTGGACGTAGGACATGATCTGGGTCTCCTTTCCGTCGGCGCCGTACTTGCCGCTCTGCATGTCGCTGCTGCCAGCAAAGCCGCCCATACCACTGCCAGAGTCATTAAAGATGGCGATCTGCTCCGTCTCGTTGTAGTTGGCGGCGTGGCCCTCGTCGTCGACGCCTCTGGTGAAGTATCTGGTGCCGCCGCGGTGTCTGGATCTACGGGAAATGAGGGTGACGGTGATGGGCGTCCCCTTGAAGGTCGTGGGGCGGATCTCGAGCATGCCGAAGATGACGGGGAGAATGAAGGCGTCGACGTCGGGCTGGGGACCAACATGGCCTCTGGCGCCCCTCGTTCGGAAGTCGATCAGGTCTGACTGGATGAATCGGTTGAAGAAGAAGCGATCGTCTGTGCGCTGCCAGAGCGGGAGAGAGGTGTCGGCGGAGGCCTGGCGCTGAAAGGAGTTTGTGAGGTCGAGAGAGTAGGAGAAGTACATGGGGCCGTTCTTCATGAAGGTGTCGAGCAGGCCAATGAAGGTATCTTCGTCGGGGTCTCGGATCTGGCGCTCGCGCATGGGGAGGATCTCGGTACTGACGACCTTGTAGACCATGTGGCCCTTGAGGCGGCCGACAGGCTGGGCCTTGTTGATTATGATGACATACTTGTCTAGAAGGAAGGAAGGAAGGAAGGAAGGAGAGTTAGCGAATTGTGTATGATTGCAGGCCAAACAGGGTTGACGGCGTTGCTGGCGACCGCGTGGGATCTTACCAAGTCTGAGTTGGATTATGCCCAAAATCCCGGCGATGCTTGATTGCCGAGATACCCTCTTGCCAAGGCCTGCATCTCCAAGGCGAAGGTCTCCAGTCGGTCGGTCAATGACCAAGGCGGGAGCATCAGGCGAGGAGGGAGAAGTGAAGACGTAAGAGTCGGGTGCGACCTTGATGTTGATGTCGCGATAAGGAAGGGTGGGTGCCATGGTGACGGGCGGCTACACGATGTTGAAGGAGTTAAGGTAGTGAGTGGTGAAGAGAAGCAAGAGGTAGATGGACAAGGCAATGCAAGGCAAGGCAAAGCAGAAAAGAAGCGAAGGAATGGGGGGAGGTAGAAGAGGGGAGGAAGCCTTGAAGCCCTTGTTGTCGTGCAACTGGGAGGTGTTGAAGTTGAAGCTGACGATTGTTGGTCGGTCGCAAGATCAAGTCTCGAGCACTCGGTGTCCAGAGCCTTGAGGACAGCTTGAGGCTTTGGTTGGCTGCACTGAATTGCGAACCCCAATAAAATGGCTGTCGTCACTCTGCAGTCGCAAGCACAGCCCGGGTGGAATGGGGGGCAAGGGGGGATGTCTCCACACAAGGTATCTTAGGTACTTGATGGGGTACCAAGTACTTGGGAACTTGGGAAACAAACTGGAACTGCCTGCTTTGAGCTCTGTTTCTGCTGTGCAAGGGGACTGGAGGTGCACTGCAGCACTGGACATCTGGAAATCTGGACGCCCGGCTTGTGAAAGAGGGACCGGATAACGTAGCGCACAGGTCATGTTCAGGAGCTATGATCCAATGAGGGAGCTTGGTAGTTGACTGGATTTCTTATGTAAGGGCAACCCCTTAGGTAAGCCTTGGACATGGAGCAGCATGTCCCAATGTCCTCCCTCTGAGTCCCGTCCTGTGACGATGGTGCCGTGGCTGATCATGACTAAAGCAGTACGTACCCAAGATGATGCAGACGGCGGCAGAGTTCCATTGCCCAGCAGACTGGGAGAGATTACATAACACGGCAAAGTCCTCCCGTCGGCCAATCAACGCAGAGCACTCAGCCCAACTATCGAGCTGGAGGTCAGTCTGGCGAAGTCATCGGGGTCGTAGGTGTCCCCCGTCCCGTCCGTCCACCTGCACCTGACAGCCCGGCGAACATCCCTCAGCGCTCCACTACAGACTTGCAGACAGCTTGGTCCTGATGTTAGGTAAGGTGCTAAGGTACCTTAGTCGGGCGCTAGGACTCCCTCAACCACCTACCACCTCAGACAGCCAGACTGACCACCTCAGAGGACAGTGAATGGGCA